AGTTTGCTTTTTGCTACTTTAATAAACACCATGACCAAAAGCAATCTAGGGGAAGAAAGGATATATTCTGCTTCCACTTCTAGGTCACAGTTCATCATAGCAAAGGCAGGGCAGGAACTCCAGCAAGAGCCTGAAGCAGGAACCATGGAGTGCTGTTTCCTAGCCTGCTCTCTGCTCATGCTCAGCTAGCATTCTTACACAACAGGGGCCCACCAGCTGGTGCTGCACACAGTGGGACGGGCCCTCTCATATAAAACATCAGCTGAGACAGTCTTTCACTGATAAGGCCACAGGACAGTTACCCTCTTCCTGGGTAACGTTAGGTTGTGTCAAGTTGATAATTAAAGCAAAGCAGGACATACACCATTCTATAGTCTTCGACTTTATGTGACATCGTTGAGCCCATAGTTCATGCTCCTCACACTCAAAATTTAAGTGTTGTTATGTCCTTCGGTCTTTGTCTTGCTTGTTTGGGTTTTTGTTTGGTTTTATGAGACAGGGTTTCTCTGTGTGGCTCTGGCTGTCCTGGAACTTACTCTGTAGACCAGGCTGGCCTTGAACACAGAGATTCACCTGCTTCTGATTCCCAGGTGCTGACCAGCTGCAGTTTGTTTTTATGGGTTTTTTTTAGGGGGTGTTGTTTTGTTTTGTTTTGGTTCTAAAACACATCAAAGAGAATCACCCACTCTGTGCCAGAATTAGAGAAAAGTCTATTCTCCATGTATTTCTACCTCTTCTACCATTGTGGAATCCTGTAGAGCTGTGTATGGCCCAGGAAAATGGGACCTCAGTCTTCACCCACAACAGCTGCCTGTCCCGATGCCTGCCCCCCCCCCATACACAATTGGCTGCCATACTCAAGAGAGGGGCAGGGCCCTCAGTCTGAAGCTGTGACATTCCCAAGGTGGCCACATCCCTCACATGGTGATGAGGTAATCTTCCAAGAGGCAAAGTGACTAATGATCCCACTCCCCCGGTTCCCACACCAAAGGGGACCAGGGACATCTTGCAGCAGACACGCTTCCAGGGGAGAGTGAGGGAACTGGAAATCATTCCTGTCCTTCTGCCTCTCCTGCAACAGCCAGCACAGTGCAGAAATTAATTCTGTCACAAGCAGGCTCCACATTGCTGCATCAGCTCTGAAATGTTCGTTTTTAATTTATTTATAGCTTGCCTCATTCCTCAAAGGAGTCTAGGCACCTCTAAAAATAACGACAATAAAAGAGGAAAATATACATATTTTAAAAACCATGACCATGGGAACCATGCATTAGAATAAAATATCAATTATTGCACAGTCTGCCTGCCAAGTGTCCCCAAGAGGTGTATGGCATCACCTACTAAAGTGGCCCCTCCTGCTGGAGGAGCCTGCTTCATTCTGCATGGCTTGTGGATACAGCTGCAGCTGTGTTTTGTGGTGACAGTGCTGGGGCTGGCACCATCTTGCTGATAGCCTTCCTTTCTCTTGAGTGAGTATTCAGGACAAATGCCCAAGAAATGAATTACAGGGTCAGAAGGCAGGGACTTCTCTGTCACTCTTGGTACACGCAGATATGTTGCTTCCTTCGCAAACTGTATCAACCCCCAATCCAAATCCCAGCCTGCCCGAAGCTGTGAGGAGAGCCCAGCATGAGGCAGAGGGCAGAGGCTGGAAGGTGCTTCTGCCACCAAGTCCTCCACATTAGTCTTTTATCTTGATGGACTGCAGAGGGGCAGGAGGGGGGCTACTTCAGGTTTAGAGCTATGTGGCTGGTAGCAGTCAAGGGTGCAGGACTGACAGGTGCGTGTGTTTTTTCCTCTTTGCCCATCTCTCCCCAGCCAGCAATGGCTATGCTATGTCCTATCCCAGACCCTCATACCGTGGATGGAACTAGAAATGTTTCGACTGGTTCCCAGAAAAAAGAACAAAAAAAAAAAAAAAAAACTATACAAAAAAAAACATAAAGCAGGTTGGCAATGTTGTGTAAGTGGATCTGAAGAGCAACCTTGCCTTTGTCAGGAAGGGCAACTGAAACACGCTCACAGTTAGTGCTGGTATTGATTAAACAGCTTTGAGGCTCACACAAAGGTTAGCAGGCAGGACCATATATAATGGTTAAGCCTTTGGCTATCGTGCCTGTCTCCTGGGCTTTGGGCTTTAATCTGGGTGATTGCAGAACCAGCCTCACCCACCAGGACTTACCTGAGAAGAGTGGATAAGAACCTGAGGCCACACTTTTGGTTTAGTTAATTTATGTGTGTGCTTGTACACACACACACACACACACACAGACACACAGACACACACACACACACACACACACACACACACACACACACACGTACGTCATACATGTGGAGGCCAGAGGATAAACTGGGAATCTCTTCTTTCTCTTTCTACATTGTGAGCTTCAGGGATTGAGCTCAGGCTCTCACGATTGGTGGCAAATGCCATTACCTGGTAAAGCTTTCTCACCAGCCCCCAAGGCTATACTTCTTACAGAATGAGGAATCACTACCTAATCTGAGTGTGGAGTCCAAGTCTTAGATCCAAGGAAGATCCCAATTTATGCTCTCAGTCTCCAGCCCTTTAGACTGAAGGAGTTTGGAATCTCTCCCAAGAGCTACAGCAAACTAAGAAGCTTCTGCACCACAAGGGGACATGCAGGGGCTCAAGGGAGAGGAAGGAGCAGCCTTTGAGGTCTCCTAAGACACAAGCTGCTTACTGTTCAATCCTGCAGTAGTGCGCCAATCCTACCATGGGGCTCCCTTCACTGCTTCTTCAGAGGACAGAAGTAAGGGCTGGAGTAAGGGCAACAGAGGCCCTCACGAAGCAAGGGAAGGAGCCACCGGTACCCTCTCTGGAGTTGCACCCAGCAAGCATCCCAGCCGGCCACCTTCTTGTTCTTTCCTCCTCCCTCCCCTAATCTCACTTTGTGCTTCCTTCACAGTCTTCATGAACACAGCCATCCCCATTGCTGCCGTGCTCATCGTAAGTGGACCTTTCTCTTCTGCACAGGGCTGGGAAGGGCTGGGGAGAGCCATCCAGGTCCCCACCCTTGGCACAAGGATCTCCAATGTTGTGTCTAGAATGGGGGTGAATACAGATGGTTCCCTCTCCACTCCACACAGACAGGGCCTCTGTCTAAGGTGCTGGGGGATATGAGACATAATAGAGGAATGAAACTTTCTTTTTAAAATAGCTAATAGGGCTGGGGGTGTAGCTCAGTTGGTAGAGTGCTTGTCTGGTTTGCACGAAGCCCTCGGCTCCAGGCCAGGCACCATATATGGTGGACATGGTAGTATGTTCTGTATTCCCAGCGCTTGGGAGGTGGAGGCAGGAGTATCTATCAGTTTAGAGTCACTCTTGGCTACAAAAGGCTAGCCTGGACTACACAAGACCCTGTCTCAAAAAGAGGGAGGAGGAGGAAGAGGAAGGGGGATGGTGTCGTTTATAGAATTTTAAAATGGATATTTGTTAATTGCAAACACATAAAGATGGAACACATCTGTTGAACAATAAAAGTGGAGGTAAACCCCACACCCTACTCAGCATCTTCAGGGTGTTGAAGAGTAAAAGTGGAGGTAAACCCCACACCCTACTCAGCATCTTCAGGGTGTTTCTCATCCTTTTTAAGCAGACGATATGTCACTTCTACAGAAATAGGACTGTGTTGCTACACAGTTGTGTAACCTGCTTTTTTAGATTCAGGAGCATGCTGCACACAGCTCCCGTATCAGGGACTGACATGATCTGCTTTGGCCAAAGCTGTGCCTTGGCTTAGCTGTGGAGGCAGATCATGTGCCCTCCAGCAAGGCCCCAGGCCCCTAGAGCCCCCACACCACCCCCACCTAACCTCCCCTTGGTCTCTGCCCTGGACTGGGGTTCTTTTAAAAGATATGGATATGTCTACTGAGATCAGAATCCCTGAGCAGCTCAGAGTGCACAGGCTTTAAGGCCTGCTTGGGAATTCATTTTTGATGTGATTCATTGAGCTGATTCCTGGCCTGCACTCTGGGAACTGTGCTACAGAGCCAGTCAGGTAGCTGGGGACAGACCCAGGAGGCAATGGCTTTATAGCAACTATTTTTGTGTCTTCACCAGACTGAGGACTAGGGAAGCTAGCACCCAGAATTCTAAGTGGAACAGGAGCAGATCCAACCCTAGGGTTCCTCCCTGTTTATTCCTGGCACAGAGGGGCAGGGCCAGAGGGAGCTGCCCCACCCCTAGCATGAGGCCTGAATTTGCTGGGGACATTTCCATGAGACAACTGAAAAAGATGACTGTAACTGAAAGTTTCCTCACCATCCTGTCAGCTCTCTAGCTTCCTTTCTAGGGCCGTGGGGTTCGGTGTGGGAGGGACCAATACCCCGAGTCACCCTCTCCTCCCTTTATCCACAGACCTTCGTGGGCCACGTCAGCTTCTTCAAAGAGTCGGACTTCTCACCCTCGGTGGCCTTTGCCTCCCTCTCTCTCTTCCACATCCTGGTCACACCACTGTTCCTGCTGTCTAGTGTGGTTCGGTCCACTGTCAAAGCTCTGGTGAGGTGAGAGAAGGGTCCAGGCAAGGGCATCCTCAGGGCTGTCCATCACAGGACACACCTCCCTGTGATCTGGGTCTCTTTTGAGCAGCTGTTATGGGAAAAGACTCTATGATGCTTATATAGCAATTAGCATGACGTCTGGCATTTAGTACATGCTCCCCAGACACTAGCCGATGTGAATAACTGTTCTTAATCCCAACTAATCTTAACACCAGCCTTGACCACTTAACAACACTTAACTTGAATGGTTTAACTAGAAAAACCCAACACCAACCATCCTGCAGCCTTATGGTTCAACTGTCTTTAACATTAAACTAACCCAAATTAAACAAAGGTACCTCCAATCCAGACTACTACAGGTCAGCCTTTTTAAAAAGTCTTAGGAGCTGTGAAGTGCTAGTTTGATGGTAGTGTGCTTGCCTAGTATAGGCAAAGCCTGGTTTCACTCCCCATCACTGGTGTGTGTGTGTGTGTGTGTGTGTGTAAACTTGGGTATAGTGGTGCACACCTGTAACCCCAAAACTTGGGAAGTAGAGGCAGGAGGATCAGAAATTCAGAGCTTTCCTTAGTGAGGTTAACCTGGGCTATATAAAACCCTGTCTCAAAACAATGCAGCAATAATAATAATCATAATCATAGTGGGCAGTGGGTGGAGGGGTGTCCAGATGACTTAGTGGGTAAAGGTCTTGCTGCCAAGCCTAGTGACCTTGACCTGAGTTCAATCCCAAGTACCACATGGTAGGAGAGACCTACTCCTTACAGTTGTCTATAGCCCATGTGCCTCCCCAACCCTTCGACACACAATAAATGAGTAAACGTATTTTTTAAACTCCTGGTAACATTTGTTACTCAGCCCTATGGAGTTGCCCACTGCTCATCTCCCCTGCAGCCCAGCCTTTGTGTTGTACACTTAGGACCAGGCACCCATGAAGAGCTGTTTTCCCAGCACTCTTCCTCCTTTCCCTTCCTCTGCCCTACACAGGGGTGAAGGGTATATCTTTGCTTCCCCTGCAGCGTGCAAAAACTGAGTGAGTTCCTGTCCAGTGCAGAGATCCGTGAGGAGCAGTGTGCCCCCAGAGAGCCTGCACCCCAAGGCCAAGCCAGCAAGTACCAGGCAGTGGTAAGTGCCCAACTTCCTCCTGCTCCTCCCAGCAGTTTTATCTGAGTCCTGCAGCTTGTGCCCAACTGCATTGGGCCCTCACGTTCCCCCAGAAGGGGCTCAGCCTAGGGGCCCTTACCTCCTAACCATCCACAGCCCCTCAAGGTTGTGAACCGCAAGCGCCCAGCCCGGGAAGAGGTCCAGGACCTATTGGGCCCACTGCAGAGGCTGGCCCCCAGCATGGATGGGGATGCTGACAACTTCTGTGTCCAGGTGAGTCCTCAATCTTGAATCCACCCTACACCCAGCCTCAGCACCATTTCCCAAGAGAAGCTTAATAGCTCAGGACCAAGAACCTGGGTTCTGAATCCTCCATCCAAAGGACCCCTGCCTGCTGAGAGAAATCCTGAGGCCAAGAACATTTCCCCCCCACTTATAAGCCCTCCTTATGCCCACTAGGGTACCTCAGAGAGGGCTTAATCCCCTACTGTTCCTGCCTAGAAAAGTACTCCAGGGGTTAGAAATAGCATCCATTGACCTTCATGGGGGAAGGGATACAAGGGACACTACACACTGAAAGCCCCATTGCCTCTGTCTTCTGTACCGTGGGGATGGACGACGAAGATCATCGGAGGCTTCTTCACCTGGCCCCCTCCTGGGATCCCCACTCTGTCCAACATCAATCACCATCCATATCCCCCGAGGTATGGTCCAGCTCACCCCTTGAGATGTGCCCCCCATGTCCCAAACAGAGAGGAAAAGCCAAATCAGTATTTGCTAAGTACCTGCCCTCTGCTGCCTAGCTGCGCATTCTGAGGTCTGAATTCTAGATAGAAGTGGGCTATGCTCTCCAGGTGTCCATAGACTGAAACAGGCTACCCCCAAGGTCAGACTAAGACAGTGATGCCTTGATGTCAAACATCTGTTGCCAGTGATCTTTTAACAGGTGTCACTCTTGAGAGGTCTAGGAGGATGTATGGAAATGGAGGTTCTGAACGTGGGCATGTTCCCATCAGCCCTGTGGCAGAGGGTCAGGCTGGCACTTTGGAGCGACGATGAAGAGCTGGGCTATCAGGGAGCACTGTAGGGAAGAAGCAGAAGATGTTGGAAGTGGAGGGAGGACCTGGGAAGCCAGAGAAGGCTGTCAACTCGGAGGGAAAATCTCGGGGGAAGGGAGCATCTTAGGCATTCTGGGTGGGGGAGGGGATGAGGGCCCAGGGCTGAGTGCACCTGTCCATCCATTCTTCGGGGTGATAGCTGTTCAGACTCCACCCGGATTCTCTCCCAGCTGCTGCCCTCCATTGCCACAGGCCAGCTGACCATGATTGTGGGGCAGGTGGGCTGCGGCAAGTCCTCGCTTCTTCTCGCCACCCTGGGGGAGATGCAGAAGGTGTCAGGAGCCGTCTTCTGGAACAGGTAACATTGGCTCCTCTCCCTCCAGCCATCTCTCTCTGTGCAGGATACACCAATCATCTCTGGAATGCCTCTGCATTGAGTGGGCGCTTAGTGAATGTTGCCTCTGCATTGAGTGAGCGCTTAGTGCATGCTGCTGTTTCTCTCATATTGTCATCATCCGTGTCCATTCAGCCCTTGCTGTGTGATATGCCAGCTTCTTGCATAGTTCTGGGCATGAATGATTTCCTGGGGTGCTTATAATCAGCAGAATACTATTATCAATTCTCATTTTAAAATAAGAGCTGTATTTGCCCTAACTCACACAACTAGCCAGAGGCAGAGCAGAGATTCAACTCAGTTCTTCTAACTCTTAAATCTCATGTTCCCTCCCTGCCAACTCTGCTTTCAGGTTTTTCATCAGAAAAGTAGACTGGGCCATTCTGGGTATGTGTGGAGGGCCCAGATATCCCAGAAAACACTGGTTCCTAAAGATCATGATCTTAATTAAAGAGCCAGAGCCTTAGGCAGAGCCCTTCATGAATCTATTATTTGTACCCACCTGCTTCTAAAAGGAGGTGATATTAGCTGCTAAAGTGTCAAGTGGGAGCTCTAGCAGGCAGGAATGCTGAGATAGGAAGAGGGTGGAGAGAGAGCCACAGCTACCCCG